CCTTTTCTCTTTCTCTATAAGGTGACTCTGGCAGCTCAGTTAAGCATCTTTCCACTCACCATGTGTCTAAAATAACAGGACCTATAATTCTGTTACTCTGTCATCAAAGAGAAACAACTCCAACATATGTAAGCCAAGCTGGCCCCTCTCTTGCATTGCATCCTCTTTCTTATTGTAGTACAATATCTATAGCTTTTGTAGCTAAATAGATCTCGACTTTAATCCCAGCTATTATCTTTACAAGTTATGTTGGGTGGGCTTGAGCAATTTATTTAGCTTCTCCAAGTCTTTATTTCTTAATCTACAAAACGGGTGTTAAAATATCTGTGTCACAGTGAGATGGGGTACATAAATTGTGTTGTTATGGTATCTTCTGGTTACTCAATAATACGCTTTCTGCTCAAAACATCTGAATGAATCATTGGTCTGATGGAGAAGGAGCCATGGGTCATCTCCCTCTTTCTTCAGGTATATCTCACTGCATCTAACCCAGGCCTCAGGGCTAGACCAATGACTAAGAGGCTCCATCTCATCAACCTTACTATTCCTATCTTCTCACTTGCTCCTCACACTTCCTAGACCCCTTGTAATTTTTAGAAGTGTAAGAGGGAGAATTAGCTTATAAATCAGCAAGTGCAGTAGCTACAAAATGACATCATGATAGAGTTTATCTGTCTTATATTTACACCTGCAGCAAAAAAAAAAAAACAAAAAACACTGAATATTAGACATCAGAGGTAACCCGCCAGGTGGGCACTAGACTCAGGATGGTCAGAAGACACTCATGGCCCCTATCTTCTCTTTCTTATTTGGTTGGTTCCACATTTATGGTCATGGTGGTGATGGCAATGGTTATGGTGATGTGGATGATGTAGCTATTTGTAACCATTTGTTAATCATCTGTCATATATCACGTATTGTGTTAGCCCTTTATATAGGGTATCTTAATCCTCTACAACGCTATATAACGGCTATTACTATGTTCATTTTAAAGGAGGACACTGAGGTTGACTTGCCCAGTAACTCATAAATAGCTGAGACAGGATTTGAATTCAGTTCTGACTCTAAAATCCATGATCTTTCCCCTTTGCCACACTGCCTCTCTTAGGTGTAGGGCTGCACATCTTTCTTCCCCTGTCATTCATTCTCCCTTTTTTCCTTATTTCTCCACCCTCATTTCTTTCCTCAAAAAGAATGATAATCATTTTTTTTTTAAATCTCCTTGTTCCTTTTCCCCATTTCCTTTTCCTCCCAGGAAAACCTTTGAGAAATCATTTTTAATGATATCAAATCATTTTTTTATTGGTGCCCTGCAAAAATGATAGTGGCGTCCCATCAAGCTCTCTGGAAGGCTGCTATATCACAGAGGAAGCTGCTCAAACTGCAGCCTCATGCTGGGGTGCGGCTCACAAATGTTTCTTAATCTGCAACCCTGGGGCTATGAATGACAACCCATACAAGTTCTTAGAAAGTTAAAGTTAGAGGGAAAAAAGGCCCAAATCCACATTCATTTTTTTAGCCAATATATGTTAAACTTGTACTGTGTTTCAGGCTCTGTAGTAGGGACTGGGTGTAAAATGAGAATCAAGCTATGCTATCTGCCCTCATGGAGCGTTTAATCCACTGCATGGAGGAAAGTGTAAATTGCTAATTAAAATACAATCGGTTGAATGCCATGACAGGTTAGTGTAAGGTGCTAAGGGAGAAGAAACGAAATATCTCAGACATGAGAAGGACTTGGGTCAGGGGTAAAATCTCTTAGGATATGATATTTGAACTAAGATATGAAGGATAAATTCACATTAGCCAGGTATGCTGGATATCTTCCACTTGCCCCTTGTTCTGGTTAACAAACTATCCCAAAACTCAGAGACTTAAAACAACAACAGTGGGGCCGGCCCCATGGCCCAGTGGTTAAGTTCGCGCACTCCACTTTGGTGGCCCAGGGTTTCGCCGGTTAGGATCCTGATCCTAGGCGCGAACATGGCACCACTCATCAGGCCATGCTGAGCCAGCATCCCAGACAACACAACCAGAGGCATTCATAACTAGAATATACAACTGTGTACCAAGGGGCTTTGGGGAGAAGAAGAAAAAAAAAAAGATTGGCAACAGATGTTAGAGCAGGTGCCAATCTTTAAATAAATAAATAAAGCAGTTATTTATTGTGATCACAAATCTGCAATTTGGACAAAGTTTAAGGGGGAGCACTTGTCTCTGCTCTATGTGGTATCAACGGGGTGGTTCAACCAAGGGCTGAAGGATTTTCCTCCAAGATGGCCCACTCACAAAGGCTAACAAGTTGGTGCCAACAGTCAACTGGGAGCTCAACCAGGGTTGAGGGATAGAGCCTCAATTTCTCTTCTATGAGTCTCTCCATGTGCCCTGGGCTTCCTCAAAGCATGGAGGCTGGGTTCCAAGGGTGAGTGTCCACAGAGAGTGGGCCAGGTAGATATTGTATTACCTTTTATGACTCAACCTCAAAAGTCACATAGCCTCATTTCTGCCTTATTCTATTAGTCCAGATAGTCGTAAATGCCCACTTGAGGAGACATGATCAGACTCCAGCTCTTGATGGGGACATGACAATGATCAAGAAGAACATGTGAGACAGGAAATATTGTTGTATTCATGTCTGGAAACCTTTATCAACCACACTCCTCTCAATCCACTGTCTATACCTCACTCTGCTCTTGCTTGGAGAAGCTAAATATATGGACTGCATCAACAGCAAGTTCTTTTGTCCTCTGGTTTCCTGTTGGGTTGACTAAAGGGAGCATCAACAAAAGATGGAAGGGAAAGAGTGAATTCAGTGTATTCATTCTCCCAGCGTTTACAAACAGGTTCACTTTGTCTAGCTATGCCCTTCAGCTGAAGGCCCTAGATCTTATCAGGTGGCTCTTCCACCCAGCTTTCCCTCTCTAGGTTACTCTCTAGGTTTCCCTCTCTAGGTTTCCCTCTCTAGGATACTCTCTCCTTCCTCTTTCAGATGTGGTAACTGTTCCTCTGTTACTAGTCCTGAGGTACTTCACTAGCCCTTGTTTCCTATACTCTGCACTATTTCTTGATATTGCCTATACTCCAATTATGCCCATACAAGAAACCCCTTCATTAAAATATTCTCAAATTATCTAATTTGAGTATATCATCTGTTTTTCGTTTTTTTGTTTTTCCCCGATCCTGACTAATATACCAAGTAAAGAGCTATCTGGAGAAGGTAATGCAGTAAATTCATGGTTTGACACACATTTTCTGCTCTAAACCTTTAGCAATCTTAGATAATTGATATCTAGTCTAAAAGAAAAAAGAAATTTGTTTCCATGGACCAATGATAGGAGGAAAATGCGAAGTGGTGAGCAAGGTTGAAGCCAAGGGGCTGCTAGGCTTGAGACAGAGAAACAGATACTGGAGTATGGGGGACATAAGTGTCCAACACAGTGTGGGACTAGAGCCAGACTGTGAAATGAGGAGATGAAATAGGGCTCCCCTACTCATGAAAGGAAGCTGTATTTTACAGTTCACCATAGCCTCATGGTATGGATTGCAGAAATCTGTGGGTTCAAGGAGGCTGGAGGACACAGACACTGCCTCCATGGCAGGAAGTGAACCAAGTGCTGCCAACTCAGTGCCGGGACCTGCAGTATCTCCAATATCATCATTTGCTGGGGGCCCCAGGCTGCAATCATAAACACTGGCTTTGGTCTAGGCATTAGAGGCCAAACACAAAAATACTATATATTGATGACATCGAAAAACAGGTAATAAAACAAAATCCAAAAACGTCCAGTACAAAATGAAGATGAAAACATAGAATTCAAAAAAATGCAAAGTGCAATAATGCTAAAGATGGTAGTTCCCTCTAGCCACAAGAATCAACCACACAAACATGAATTGACTCCAGAAAAAATTATGTTAAAGGGCATTTTGACAAAAAATTACAATAAATATGCTTAAGATGCTTAAAAAGATAAATGAAGGAATAAAAATCATTAAAAATTGAGAAATTTAAAAGATAGAAGTGGATATAAAAGAAAAACAACCAGAAATCTTAGAAAATGTAGTCACTGATATAAAAAACTTAACAGATAAAAAAAATTCCAGATTGACACAAAGAATTAGTGAGATAGAAAATATTACTGAGGAATTCAATCAAACATAGTTCAAAGACACAGGGAAATAAAATATGAAAGAGTAATTAATTAATTAAAAGATATGAAAGAGAGTTTAGGAGGCTCTAACACACGTCTACCTGAGTTCCAGGGAAACAAAAACAAAAAACAAAAGAATTGGTACAGATAATAGCTGAGAATTTTCCAAAATTGAAGAACATCTAAATTCTCAGCTGTAAAGTGCACTTCAAGTGCCCAGAAGTATAAATAAAACAAATCCACATCTTGATCCATTACAGGAAAATATAGATCATTAAGGGTAAAAAGAAAAATTTAGAAGTTACTGGAGACATCTGGTCAGCCTTAGCATAAAAGCAGCCTCTGAAATCTTAATTTTTCTATACATCTTCTCAAAAAGTCTTAAGCTCAACAAAGAACTCAAATAAAATCAAAGATAAACCATATCTTCAGAATTACTAGGAGACATATAAGAGCACGAATTTCAAATTACCTATAAGCAGAAAAACAAAGACTAAATTCCAACAGAGCTTCCATAGCCATTGCAAGCTTGTGAGTGTGGAGAGTGAGGAGTCATCTTAGGAGTCTCCAAGGAAAAGAGGAGAGGGGTCTATAAGACTTATACAAAACCAAGATCAAAATAACTTCCAAGAAGGGCCAGCCCAGTGGCATAGTGGTTAAGTTTGCATTCTCTGCTTTGGCGGCCCGGGGTTCAGAGGTTTGGATCCCAGGTGTGGACCTACACACCACTCATCAAGCCATGCTGTGATGGCATCCCACATACAAAATAGAGGAAGACTGGCACAGATGTTAGCTCAGCGACAATCTTCCTCAGGCAAAAATAGGAAGATTGGCAACAGATGTTAGCTCCGGGCCAATCTTCCTCACCAAAAATATAAATAAATAAATAGCTCCCAAGAAGAGAAAGTGCATGCTAAGTGCTCAGATACTGAACACAGGTCTGGGACTTACCAGTTTATGGCACAGCCAACAGAAATGTCTTGAGAGTCAGTGGAACCCCACTGATGCCTCTGCAAAGCACTTTTGGGGAAGATGGTAAATGGAGAAGAAGGGATGCCTCCTTGACGATGTGGCATTAAAGCAACATAAAGACATGACAAGGAAAAAATTAAGGATCCTGCCGAAGAAAATAGAGAGAGAAACACAAGTTACATCAATCCCTCCTCAACATTTTCACCAACAAAAACATTATCCATTAAGGAAACTGTACTTTACTATTCTAACACAAGACGACAGTCTTCAGTGATAAACGTTACCTCTGAAATATCTTGGAATATAAAAAACAAACAAACAAATTCAGACTAACTCTATGTATAGCTACAGTAAAAAGAAAACAAAAAGTGAGACTGAAAACATTTCAGCTGATGATAAGCTCCTCGACGAAAAATAACTATGAGATAAAAATTGTAAACCAGTGCACCAAATTTAATTTCTTCAAACAATCATTTGGAGATATAAAAATACTTAAAATCAGAAATTCAAGAATTGAGAATAAAAGTGAAAAATAACAAGAAGAAATGCAATGAACTCCAGAGAGAAATTCAAGGAAAAGTGCAAAATCTCAGAAATGAAGAAAAAATTATGAGGTATCAAATAGAATCAAATGATTATAAGGGTCAACAAATAAAGGCTAGAAGACAACTTTTTAGTTGAATGAATGAAAATGAGAAAGAGAAGTAAAAAGGGTCAGAGAGAAAGTGGTTGAAAAGAAAGGCAAAGAAAATCCAATCTAAGTATAATTGGAGTCACTAAAAGGAAATATATATATATATATATAATCTGAGAAAATTTTCCAGAAATAAGAGAAAAAGAAAATCTACATATTGAAAGGGTCCACCAGGTACCTTGGAAAATTGGTCTGGAATGATCAACTCTGAGATAGAGTCTAAGAAAGTAGAAGAATTTAAAGACAAAGAAAAAGTTCTTAGGGCCTCCATGCAAAAAAAACCCTAGTTATTATAAGGGTAATAAAATTATACAGGCATCAAATTTCTCAAGACAAACATACAAAGACAAGAATTAATAGCACCTTCAAGGAACTCAAGGAAAGAAAATAGGAACCAAGGATTTTATATTCAGCTAAGCTCTCCCTCAAACAGCAAAACTATACAAAGACAATTTTAAACGTGCAAGAATTCAGGGTATGCTCTTCTTAGAAGCATCTCCTGAGGAATCTACTAGAGGATAAGCTCTTCCAATCAAGAGATGACCAGGAAAATTTAGCAACAGAGCCAATAGTGAGAGTTTAATATATTTAATTGGAAATTTAAGACTGAAACAAAGGCAGCAGCATGGATGAAAGAATAGCATGCAAATATTCTGAGCTCTGACAAAGCAGAAAAACGCAACTTAACATGAGAGAAAAAGAGAACATTAAAATCAGATCGCTGATCATTATATAGAAAATACGTGGGAGTCAAAGGATATCATTTAAAACCAACAAACAAGGCAGTAAAAAGTTAAGCAGGACGAAAGAGAGATAAAAACACGGTTAAAGGTATAAATACAAAGCTACCATTAGAACAAAAATACAAACCTTTCTAAATACTAAAAGAAAATTTTGAAGAGAACAAAGAATAATACTCACAGACTCTGTTACATAAAATAATAACACAATGTTGAGACCAAACATATCAATGCTATCAATAAATGTAATTAGGCCTAACTTGGCAATTAAAAGAAAATGATTTTCAAACTGGCTTAAAAGTAAAGCCCAACACTGTGTCATATAATAGACACAGCTAAAACGATGGGAGTCAAAAAGGCTTAAGATAGACGGATAAGAAAAGATATGCAAGGCTAATGGTCATAAAAAGAGGGTAGACTTGCATCCTAATATCAGGCAAAATAGAATTCAAGTCAAACTACGGGTGATGCAAAAGGAGACAAAAGCACAGTAGTAACAGGAGACTTTGACACTTCATTTTCAGTACAAGACAGTTTAACTTGACAATATTTATGTTATGTTTTAGAAGACCTAAAGAACAGACTCAATAGTGTAGATAGTGTAGATCTTATGAATACATATCTAACAATTCACCCTGATAATAGAGAATATAGCTTCTCAGGCACACATGGGACATTCACGATGATTGATTATATATTAGTTCACAAAGGCAATGTTGGTAAGTTTCATAAAGTACAAATAATGCAAAATTATTCTTTGATCTCAATGCAATAAAACGAGAAATTTAAAATGACACCAAAATCCAAAAATATCCTTTCTCCTGAAAAAAAGTTCTTCGACTAAACAGTTTTGAGCAAAAGGGGAAATACAAACAGAAATTATAAAATTTCTACAAAAATAATGACAATAAAAACACTACATATCAGAATCAATGGGATATGTTTAAATGAAACATTGAAAACCTATATCAATAAAATTTTAAAATGAAAAGAAATTTCTAACTCAAAAAGCTAGAAAAAGGACAATAAAGAAAATTAAAAGCACAAGGAAAGAAGTAATAAAGATAAAAGCCAAAGTTAATGAGATAGAAAGCAAACAGTAAATTAAATAGAAAAATAAAATCCCAGTTCTTTAAAATAAATCAGAAAAATAGACAAACTACTAGCTAATTAAATTAAGAAAAAAGGGAGAAAATGCAAAACAAGAAATGACAAGGGATAAATATTAATACAGAGGAAATGTGTTAAATCATGAGAAAAATTCTCACACTTATACACAAAAAAAATTAGGAAACTGGATGAACTGGATAATTTTCTATCAATATTTAACTTACCAAAATTTATTCCAGTAGAATTAGAAAGTTTAAATGACCAATTTCCATAGAAGAAATGGCAAAAGTTACAAAGGAGCTATTCAATAAAAAAGCACAAATCTAGGTGGTTTCACAAGGGGATCTCTACCAATCTTTTAGAGGCCACCAGATGGTCCCAATGAAACAGAAATTGTTTCAGTGACTAGAAGATGGAAGAGAACTTCCAAATCCCTTTTATGAAGCAGCTATAGCACTTATACCCAAACCTGATAAAAATAGCACCAACAAAGAGAAAATTACAAACTAATGTATCTTATGGCTATTGATGCAAAAATCCTAAATAAAATATTTGCAAATAAATTCTAATAGCTCATTATGAAAACAATAACACCATGAGCCAGCACTTTATGTCAGAAATGCAAAGATTTGCATTATTAAGAAATTCATTAAAATAGTTCACCGCATTGGTTTAAAAAGAAAAATCTTACAGTTATCTTCACAGATATTGTAAAGGCATTTAACAAAATTGAACCCATTCATATAAAAATACCTAAATTATATGAATAGATATATACCTCCTTATCATGATAAAATATATATGCATATACACCCCAGTCCTAAAGCTAGCATCTCATCTAATGGAGAAGCATTAGAGGTGTTCTGACAAGGGTTAAAATCATGTCAAGGATGACCACTATCTCTACTACATTTAACAATATCTGGCAGATATTAGCCAATATGACTAGAGACTAGAAAAAGGTTAAAGGCATATGAATTAGAAAAGAAGTAAACAATATCTATTTGTAGATGACGTGATGGCATACCTGGAACACCCTATAGAATAGTGATAAAACTAATTCAAGTGATTAAAAATATTGAGCAAGCTGGTAGGCTTTAAAATTAACATGCAAAAATCAATAGCTTTCATATGCACAAATAATAATCTAATAGAAGATATAATGGAAAAGAAAAAATCCCACTTATAATATAAAATAAGGGATAAAATACTTAAAAATAAAGTTAATAAGAAATGTGCCAAACTTATGTGAGGAAAACTATTTAAAAAGAAAAAGAAATCCAAAAGACAAAAAAGTGGGTTCGAACACGTGGAAAGGCATTCCTTGTCTTGGGATAGGCTGTCTCTCAGTTGAGCAATCCCAGCTGATGGCACATGGAGCAGAAACAACCCTTCCCCACAAAGCCCTACCCAAATTGCAGATCTGTGCCCAGATCTTGGTTTCCAAATGTCATGCTCCACTAAAAGGAACCATGGCTCCTTGGAGAAATGGCTGATTTCCAGTCTGGGGCAAGAAAAGTACAAGATGAGCCTGAAAAATATTGTGTCAGAAAATAAGGAAGAACTGGGGCCAGCCCAGTGGTGCAGTGGTTAAGTTCACACGTTCTGCTTTGGCAGACCAGGGTTCGCTGGTTCAGATCCCGAATGTGGACCTACCCACCACTTGTCAAGCCATGCTGTGGTGGGTGTCCCACATATAAAGTAGAGGAGGATGGGCACGGATGTTAGCTCAGGGCCAATCTTCCTCAGCAAAAAGAGGAGGATTGGCAGCAGATGTTAGCTCAGAGCTAATCTTCCTCAAAAGAAATAAAATAAAATAAAAATAAAAGGAGATGATATTAAAAAAAAAAAGAAAGAAAGTAAGGAAGAACTAAAAAAAAAAATGGGAGTATATCATGAGGACATAGGAGTCAGCTTGAAGGAGCTCCAACTGACCAAATCCAGGAAATCTGATCCTTGAAATAAACAAGGGCAGCAATAGATTACAACCTATTAAATAAAACAGAATCCATCAATCCATACTCCAAATACATAAATAAATAAGCAAGCAAGCAAATACATAGATTAACAAAAGGACAAACTCTTCCTTATGATAGAATGCTGACATAAAAATAGAGAAAAAAAGAATAAATTAAGAAAATCACCATTTTGCAATCATCGTTGTGAAACTTGATCCAGGCAAGAATCATCAAAAGAGGCTAAATTTGGGGAGCAGGAACATTTGATGGGGAAGAGGGTATTGCACCTCAAAGTATCTCCTGACAATTACTTATTAACTACAAAAGGGAAAACAGTAACTATTGACTGGAGAAACTGGACAGTCCCTTAACCAAATCATCAAAATTAACATCATCTATCAGGGCAAACAGACACAATGTCACTTCAGATGGGAATAAGATAACGTCATTTATATAGCAGCCTTTCCCAAAATGCAAAACATGATTCTAATCATGAGGAAACATCAGAGAAACCAAATTCAGGGACATATTAAATAAATAGCCTGTATTTTTTTTAAAAATGCCAATGGTACAAAAAACAAAGAAAGGCTGAGGAACTGTCCTAGAGTAAAGAAGACTAAAAAGCCGTGATAACTACATGCCATACGTGATCCTGAACTGGATCTCGTAAGAGGAAAACAAAATTGCTATTAAAAAAAACCCCACATTATTGGGACAATTGACAAAACTGGAACACCAACTGTAGATTAAAGGTATCATGTTAAATTTCCTGAATTTGGTAGGGTTCTGGATGAGGGCAAAACTCATTTCTGATGAGCAGAATATAAGACAGGGTCCCTGCTCTTAAAGACATTATATTCTAATTGAGAAGAGAAAAACAGCACATGAAATAAAGTGTAATGCAAAAAAAAAAAAAAAAGATGGCAAATTATCAGAACAGAAAGCGCTTACGTGAGCTGCCGTGGTGTGACAAGTCTTCACGGGGAGATGGAACATAAATGAGCCCTTCAAGGAACGATGGGTTTGAGGCACGCAGCAAAGGGAAGGAAAGACTTTTCTATGTAGAAGTTCCACCAGTGTGAGCGAGGAGGTGGGAAGGAACACAGCTCAGAGGGTAAACTGCAGAAAATCAGTGATAGGGATCAACAGGAAAATTATTTGATACGTAGGCGAGAAGCTCCAAAAACTTGAAACAAAACTTGAATACACGTCAATTTAGTTAGAAGAAACTAGCTCATACAAACATACAGTTTTTTAATTAATTATTTTTTAAAAATTGGGAATCTTAAATACATTGCCCAAATCTTTTTCTCTTAAAGAGAGTCCTTTCTTGTAGGGGAGAAATCTATGCACTGCTGTCCAAAAGGACTTTCTGCGATGAGGAAAACATTCTATATCTGCAATGCCTAACACAAGGGCCACGTGGGGCTGGTGAAATGTGGCTAGTGTGACTGAGGAATTAAATGTTTAATTATATCTAATTTTAATTAACTTAAATTTGTATAGTCACATGTGGCCATTGGCGACCTCATTAGACATTGCAGGTGTGTACCAAAGCTAATCTCATAGGTGGCATGAAGGGTAGAGATGGATGCCCTCATTTCCCTTTTAACCTCTCACATGTAGATAAAGCTTCCGAATCTCCTCTAACCCTTATTTTTGTAAAGGCAGCAGAGTATTACATGAGTTGTGACAGTTCCAGTGAGCTTAGAAAGTAATTAGGTCAGGGTTTCTCATTTCTGAAGTGTAAAGGTCACCCTAAAGGATCATGAGGATTGAAGCTCCCTTGAAAACTAAGCAAATATTTGGAATTCCAGTTTCTTCCCTTCTTTCCTTAAGCTCATCCTTCTGCCTGCTGTAATGATGTCTGCAGCTCAAGTGATCAAAAGCTTGAAGCAGCCTTCACAATGGCCTCCCACTAAGGCTGCTAGAGGAAGGACTTGGCAGGGTCATGATTCTGGCAGCTCTTTCGCTGTGATCTCAGCCCCTTAAACCCAAGGAAGAGTAGCAAATTAAGCTGCCCTTCTAAAAATTCAGCTCTCAAAATTTTGGCACATTTAGGCTTTTCCTTTGGTATAAAAATCTTTCAGGTCCTTATGCTCAAGAATGCACATTTTCTCTCCTAAAAATAAGTGAGCAGCAGGTGCCATACCAAACAAGTCTTAAATGATTTAAGCTGCAGTTGGGAAGGTTCCATAATGTAAGTCATTCCAGTTACTGCTCATTTGGAGCTGGGGGAGGCTTTTGATCTAGCTTCATGAATTTCCGATCATTTCTGTTGGACAGTTATAATTTTGTTATCAGTCTTTGCAAGTTGAACTTACAGTCCATTTGGAATAATGCACACACACAAGCACACATTCATCCCTATCAAAGGTCGACATCACTCAATGTTGCTAAGAATAGGTAATATGCAATACTTAAGGGTTACTTCTAATTCCTTTCTAGCATTTCTTTGACATTTCATGCCCTGGTTCTCTTTTATCATTCTAGAAAAATGCCATAAATAATTGGCTTGGTATGGGCAAGAGAATGTGGACAGCCTCTCCTCTGATTACAAAATAACGCTGAGCGTTTTGTACAAGAGGCATAGCAAACTTCTACCTGGGTCTTTAGATAAAGTTAAAATTCCAAATATTTTGTCCAGTTCTTCTCATCAAAACGTGCCAGAAATCCCCACGTTGTTTTGCAAATCAACATTACTCAGCTGAAATATATTTAAATCTCCAAAAGGGGGGGACAAATAGGACGCATGGTCATAGGTCAAACAAAATTTGTAGTTATTCCTGAAAACATGTTCATGTTAGTTCAGATTTTATATAAATGATTTTATATATTTGTATACTATATATATCACTATGTATATAACATTAATATGCAAACTGCATGCAAGAGTGCACAAAAACAGGAGACTTCTAGCTAGAAAATATTAAGTTTTCAACATTAAGTTGCAGCAGCCTAAGGAAGGCCGAAGATCTAGCCTCACAGTGTTTGATGACACTTGCTGCTCTCATGGTCAGGAAGCAAGTTCCTCTGGGAGAGGAGACCTAATGGGGATATTTTGTGAAGGAGCACAAGCAGCCATGTGAACTTATAAGTGGGAAAGGCAGGGGACGAAAACCAAGGAACTTCGTGGGGGTCAGGCAATATGGAATGCTTCTCTTTCTTTGTACCACAGATCCTAGGGAGGTGATATTAAACCATTTTATTTATATATTTTTAAGTTTATTCACTTATAGTTTCATCTCAAAATGCCTCTCTCTGTGTTCCACATCTGAAGTGACTAGCTCTATGAAGAGGTTGCATGAATATTTCAATTCCAACAATGATTGAAAATAATTCCACAATTTGGTATAAAATAAAAATTTTAAATCTAACTAGTTACATGATACGCAAACAAAAAAGTATGTAGTTTCATCATGGCCCTCCTCCAAAATGATAACAATGCCCAGTGCTGCAAAACACAAGGGGATTTTGCTAATTTGCACGATGGTACTCTTTGGAGGCAGTGATGGCCTTCCTGGGTTGGGTCAGAGATGCCTCTTCCAGCAGCCATTTCTTGATTGCAGACTTGGCCACACAGACCTTCCTTGTTGCTCTCAAGGCTGTGGGAAATTAACGCCGTAGAAAGTTGGACGAAGGATATACAATCAAACCAAAATATGATCAACATCATTTTAAATCAGGGAACTGAAAGTCACTATTCAGCTGTAGTGAATTGCATTGTGCCGCCACGCCCCCCCCACCCCCACCCCCCCAGTTCCTCACTCCTTCCAGGATCCATGTCCTTTGCCACTTGACTTTCCAGTTTCTCCCACTAAAGGAGCAGAGTATATTTCCCCAACCTCTGACTTTGGATTGAAACGTGTGAGTTGCCTTGACCAATAGAGCAGAGGTGGGGGCATGACAGTGTGTCAGTTCCAAGCCTACACCTTAAGAAGCCTTATATGTTTCACCTTGTCCTCTTATGCCTCTGGCATTGAGAAGAACATCCTCCAGCTTGCAAACAGGTCCTAAGCATATGATGAGCCACGTGGACCAGCACCGCAGCAATCACTGCAGATAGAAGCAGAGCCTCCCCAGACAACCTGGACACCTGTGGGCAGTGGAGCCACCCAGCTGAGCACAGACTAGCTCTTTCAGAACCCAGCAGAAGTGCTGGTGTGTGAGCAATTCTAAGTGACTGCTGTTTTAAGCCACTGTGTTTGTTTATTTGTTTTACCATTTGTGTGTGTGTGTGTGTGTGTGTGTGTGGTGAGAACACTAAACATCTACTCTCTTGGCAAATTTCAAGTACACAGTACAGTATTATTAACTACAGTAGGGGATGGGATGGGGGAAATAGGGAGATGTTGGTCAAAGGGTACACGCTTTCAGTTAAGCCACAGTGTTTTGCAGTGTTCTGTTATGAAGGATTATTGTTGCAACAGGAAGCAATATCAACCTCCACAGGATTCTCACAGCCAGTACTACTTCAGGCACTGTATGCAAGTGGGAAGCCAGGCTCCACCACTCTTAGAAATCCCTACCCCTCTCCTTTACCTCCACTATATCCCTACCTAGATAAGGCCATTCCCCATCCTCCTGACCAAGCATTAGATTCTTGCCTTCCCCCTGCCCATACTGCAACTCATGCTTAATTCCTTGATGAACTAAATCTTCCTCTACATGTATTTGATATCCTATCTATTTTCTCTAAGCCTTAGTTTTTGTTTCATAAGAGGGGCTAATAATAATAGCTTTCACTACTATTAAATTAAGTGAGATAATGCATATAAAGTGCCCAGAAAGTATTAGAAACCGAGTAGGAACTCAAAAAGTAATAACCATTATTATCCTGACTCTTGAAAATCACTTTCCTCATAATGATCTGCCCTGAAACCCCGAGATAAGAAAATCTCTTTTGATAAGATCACATAAAAGTAGTTAAGATAAAGATCATTGCTAACTCATCCCAACTTTTTAATATAGAGTACTTAACACGCAACTTGAAAAAATCGCTTTCAACGTCTGTTTTTTTCTTGCTCTAAGTAATTTTAAAGTTTGGAGAATTTTAAATCACTAGAAAATTGTTCTTTTAACCACTTCGAAAGTGTTCCATTCTTGATTAGCCTAAATATTTGAGACTCAAAATGGTCAATTACCAGTTTAGTCCCTCATGAAACCAATATTTAGTGAGCACCTACAGTACACCAGGCTCCATGTCAGTTGCTGTGTGAGGTTAAAGGGGCATAAGACAGTTTCTTCTCCCTGGCAAATTATAAAATGTTGGGAAGTCGATGTGTTGACACAGTAACAACTACCCAACACGGCAGTGCTGAGTCATTTGTGAGTGAAACTGACATTAACTAGAGTAGAAACTAACGTAGAAAATAGATGGGATACAGTCTTGCATTGCTTAACAACAGAGATTCTTTCCAAGAAAGGCGTCATTAGGCAATTTGTCATCGTGTAAACGTCATAGAGTGTACTTCCACAAACCTAGATGGTATAGTCTGCCACATTCCTAGGCTATATGAGATAGCTTATTGGTCCCAGGCTACGAACCTGTACTACATGTTACTGTACTGAATGTTGTAGGAAGTTGTAGCACAATGGTAAGTGTTTGTGTATTTAAACATATTTAAACACACAAAAAGTACAGCAAGAATATGGAATAAGATGGGGCTGGCCCAATGGTGCAGCACTTAAGTTCACACGTTCTGCTTTGGCAGACCAGGGTTCACCAGTTCAGATCCTGAGTGTGGACCTACACACCACTTGTCAAGCCATGCTGTGGCAGGCGTCCCACATATAAAGTAGAGGAAGATGGGCCCTGATGTTAGCTCAGGGCCCATCTTCCCGAACAAAAAGAGGAGGACTGGCAGCAGATGTTAAGCTCAGGCTAATCTTCCTCAAAAAAAAAAAAAAACTGGTTTCATTGGAAAACTATTAGAAATAATCAACAATTACAGCAAAGTTGCAGGGTACAAAGTCAACTTACAAAAATCAGTAGCATTTCTATACTCAAATAACGAACTAACAGAACAAGAACTCAAGAATACGATTCCATTTACAATTGCAACAAAAAGAATAAAATATCTAGAAATAAATTTAACCAAGGTGGTGAAAGACTTATACAAAGAAAACTATAAGACATTACTGAAAGAAATTGATAATGACACAAAGAAATGGAAAGACAGTCCATGCACATGGATTGGAAGAATAAACCTAGTTAAAATGTCCATACTACCTAAAGCAATCTACAGATTCAATGCAATCCCAATCAGAATCCCAATGACATTCTTCACAGAAATAGAACAAAGAATCTTAAAATACATTTGGGGCAACATACGACCCAGAATAGCCAAAGAAAGACTGAAAAACAAGAACAAAGGTGGTGGCATTGCAATCCCTGACTTCAAAATATATTATAAAGCCATAGTAATCAAAACAGCATGGTACTGGTATAAGAGCAGGCACACAAATCAATGGAACAGAATTGAAAGCCCGGAAATAAAACTGCACATCTATGGACAGCTAATCTTCAACAAAGGAGCCAAGAACATACACTGGAGTAAGGAAGGCCTCTTTAATAAATGGTGCTGGGAAAACTGGACAGCCACATGACAAAGAATGAAAGTAGACCATTATCTTTCCCCCTGCACAAAAATAGACTCAAAATGGACCAAAGACTTGAAGTTCTATGGTTCCATTAAAACTTCATAAACCATAAAACTTCTGGAAGAGAATATAGGCAGTACACTCTTTGTATCAGACGTAAAAGGATCTTTTGGTATACCATGTCTACTCAGACAAGGGAACCAAAAGAAAAAATATACAAGTGGGACTTCATCAGACTAAAGAGCATCTGAAAGGCAAAGGAAACCCAGATCAAAATGAAAAAACAGCCCACCATCTGGGAGAAAATATTTGCAAATCATATATCAGATAAGGGGTTAATCTCCATAATATATAAAGAGCTCACACAAATAAACTACAAAAAAAAAACAACTCAATCAAAAAGTGGGCAGAAGACGTGAACAGATATTTTTCCAAAGAAGACATACAGATGGCCAAAGGGCACATGAAAAGATTCTCAACATCACTAATCATCAGGGAAATGCAAATCAAAACTACACTTAGATACCATCTTACACCTGTTAGAATGGCTATAATCACCAACACAAAAAATAACAAATGTTGGAGAGGTTGTGGAGAAAAGGAAACCCTCGTCCACTGCTGGTGGGAATGCAAACTGGTGCAGCCACTGTGGAAAACGCTATGGATATTTCTCAAAAAAGTAAAAATAGAACTACCATATGACCCAGCTATCTCACTAGTGGGTACTTACCCAAAGAACTGGAAATCAACAATTCAAAAAGACTTATGCACCCCTATGTTCACTGCAGCATTATTCACAACAGCCAAGACGTGGAAGCAACCCAAGTGCCCATCGACAGACGATTGGATAAAGAAGTTGTGGTATAGATATACAACGGAATACTACTTAGCCATAAAAAAGACAAAATCGTCCCATTTGCAACCATATGGATGAGCCTTGAGGGCATCATGTTAAGTGAAATAAGCCAGACAGAGAAAGATAAACACCATATGATTTCACTTATATGTGGAATATAAACAAACTTACAGGCAAAGAGAATAAATTAGTGGTTACCGGGGGGAGGGGGTGGAGGGTAGGCACAAGGGGTGAAGGGGCATACTTATATGGTGTATGATAAGTAATAATGTACAACTGAAATCTCACTATGTTATAAGCTATTATGACCACAATAAAAAATAAAAGAATATGTAATAAGAGAGAAAAAATGGTACACCTGTATAGGACACTTACATGAATGGAGCTTTGAGGACAGGAAGTTGCTGTTGGTGAGTCAGTGAGTGAGTGGGGAGTGAATGTGAAGGCCCAGGACATGACTGTGCACTCCTGTAGACTTTACAAACACTGCACACTTGGGCTACACTAAATTTATAAAAAATATTTTTCTTTCTTAAAAAATAAATTAACCTTAGCTTACTGTAGCTATTTTACTTTATAAAAATTTTAATTTTTTTAAATTTTTTGACTCTTGTAATAACACGGCTTAAAACACAATCACATTGTTCAGCTGTACAAAAATATTTTTTCTTTATATCCTTACTCTATGAGCTTTTTCCTATTTTTAATTTTTTTTTTTTTTACTTTTTAAACTTTTTTGTTAAAAGCTAAGACACAAACACACACATTAGCCTAGGCCTACACAGGGTCAGGATCATCAATATCACTGTCTTCCACCTCCACATCTTGTCCCACTGGAAGGTCTTCGGGGGCAATAACTTGCACGGCGCTGTCATCTCCTATGATAACAATGCCTTCTTCTGGAATATCTCCTAAAGGACCTGCCTGAGACTCTTCTTGAAGAGATGTCACTCTTTTCAGAAATATGTCCATGGTGGTTTGCTTGGTTTGTTTCTTTTTTTCATCACAGATTTGCTTGTAAGTAGATAATGCACCATGAACATCCTTTCTATTAATGAAAACTTATGACTTTACAACATTATGATGTTACTAGGTGATAGGAATTTTTCAGCTCCCTTATAATCTCATGGGACCACTGTCTGTACGTGGTCCATCATTGACCGAAAAGTTTATTATGCAGCAAATGATTGTAGCCAAATTGGCATAATTTAAGGAGAGATTAACAAAAGGACTTATTGGTAGAGATGAGGTCAGGGTACATGGAAACCACAAAGAGAGTTCAGCACTACAGAGATAGTAACAGCAGCGTACTATCACCATCCCAGGCCTGACAGGGTGAGAGAAAAAAGCATTTACCTAGACCAGGTGAAAGAAAGCCGTGTAGAGAGGGCCGTCTGCCGGGAGCTGTGATGTGATGGAGTAGTCTAGCCAGGCAAAGGGCAAAGGAGCCTGTTGATATTGACCCTGCTTCTCAGCCTTCCAGAACAGAGATCAAGGTAGAGAGAGAGTCTGAAAGAACAAGTAAAGTGTATCCAGCACACCAGGTCACAGGAACCAACACCCGAAAAGATATTTTCTTAGCCTACTGATAGAGACATGCTTTTGATTGTAATGGTAGCCCTAATCAGGGAAAATTTACTCCCCCTGGAATCTCCCAGGCAATTGGAATTTGAATCATGTCTGAACTGCCCCTGGGAGAGTTCCCTACAAATCCACAGGGCGTTAGAAAAAATGAACCTTAGATGGGATTGCTGTAGCCTGGAAAGTGAATTACGAATGAGGAATTCTGGGCTCCTTCCATACCTTGCATCCAGGGGGAGAACATAGGTAATGGTCCTCAGATTATCTCCCCCCTATCTCTAGTTGTTTATGGTCAGAAAGGTTCTGCCAAAATATCCCATAAAAGAAAGAAAATGGAGATGATGAAAGATTGTTTCTTAGTTAAACTGCTACATAAAGTTTTTAACAGCTTCAAAATGAACTATTTTCATGCTAGTTAAAGTAGTTTGCACAGGATATTTTTTATGACCCTATTGTACTAAACCTTTACCTCCAGATTTTCCTGGTGGGAGGTGAAGTCCACTGCCTCCAGTGGGATCTTATACTTCCTGCCAAAGTAATTGTGGGCGGTGGTGCCATTTGGAAATAACAATCATCTTCTTTGAGTTCAACATAACTCTGAAGAGATGGTGATATTTTGGCATTTTCAGTTTCTTGCTTCCAAAATGCATTAGCCTGTATGCATACATAGTTGCTTTCCAATTCTAAATGACACTTTTGTTTTGAATCCAAATAAGTTTTCCATCCTTGCCTGCAACTTCCAAATGATTTCATCATCATTATTTTCTTAGCGTCATCTGTGGATGAGAATGCAAACAAAATTTCAAGTCCTGCCTGGCATCTCTGATTCTCTGAAGGTTTTATTTATGCTGGCATAATCGGGATTGATTGTGCTATAGGATAAACAACCTTCAGCTTATGTAGAACTGTTTTCAACATCCCACTTTCCATTTGCACATGTTCTCAATAAGTAACTCATCAACCAAGTCTTATTTTCTGTGCTCTTCAATGCTCGCCTTAGGGCCTGCTCTTTTTCCTGATATTGCAAGGTAGTAGCAAATAATGTCATAGTTAAGATTTCAAAGGCACAATATTATAAGCACCTCATCTCTATTGGCCATAATGAAAATCTATATTGCAGCCATAGTTTTCCAAGGTACTGTCTCATAATCAAATGATATTCTTTTTGGAAGTTCATTTTCTGCTTTTTTCTTTTCATATCTGAATCCTCTACTTAAAAATGTTTGATGGCACCTAGTCCTGTACAGGATAAATACCAACCTCCTTAGTATGCCATTTATGCATTTCGCAAATACTTATTAAGCATCATCTCTCTGACAGGTACTGTTATAGGAGCAGAAGGTATTTAAAATACTGTCCACACTGAGCTGTTTGCCGTTCTCCAACATTCGACCCTTCCTCAATCCCTTGTCTTTCCCTGTGTTGCGTATCAGAGCACATTTCCAATCACTTCGCCACCATTTTCCTGCAAATGCCTACTCCTCCTTGAGAACTCTCCTAAGCAACATCGTCTGTGGAAGTCCTCCCCAACGCCCCCTAGCTGAGTTCACCATTCCTTGCTCTGATCCCACAGAGCAGAGTTCTTCCATCTTTATTTCAGCCCTTGGCACATTTGCTGAGATTGTGGGTATGTCTGTCTCCCTCCCAATCCATGAGCTCCAGAAAAGAAAAGTTGGAATTTTGTTCATCCTAGGCACCTGCACCATGTATGTGGTCAAAGATTTGCTGAATGAATGAACAAATAAACAAACTTAATGAGTAGAGAACAAAGCACTAGTTGAAACCCTGAGAAGGGATTCTCTCACCCACAGTTAAGAATTACTCAGCTGAAGCTCTAATGTAGAACACGGTGACTATAGCTGTTAACGCTGCGGGGTGATGGATGCGTTCACTAACTCAGTTGGGGGAATCTTTTCACAATGCATACGTATATCAAATCATCACATTATATGCTTTAAATACCTAGCAATTTTACTTGTCAATTATACCTCAAAAAAACTGGAAAAATTCATTCACTCGTTTTCTTAAAAAAAGAATTATTCAGCTGGAACTGAAAGCCATCACTGAAGCCACCAGTTATTTGGAGACTTTTCAGCACCAGGTGGCAGGCTGATAGGCTAGGTCCAAACCCTAGCATGCACATTACTTGTTCCACATCCATCCTGTCCCAAGAACAGCCAATCAGGGTGGCTATGTTTTGTAGGAAGCTGCTTTGCAGAGCAGGACACCCTCAAAGACAGGTGGAGAAGCTGCAGGAGCTCAGGGAGTCCTAACTTCTATGGATATGTGACCTGGGTCATTGTCTCTCCAACCAAACTATGGGCTTCTTTAAGAACAAAGATTATGTCTGGAACCTCTATATTTCCCCTTCCCCCAACCTCTTGTCTCGTACAGGACCGAACACTCGGTTTATGCTCAGTAGTAGTCTTTTAAGGAAGAAAATATTTCTGGAAAAAAGAAAAGGAAGAAAGATTGTGATAGGGAATACTAGCTGTTACAACAAATACATTCCCAAATATAAGTGCCTTATCACAGTAGAGTTTTCTTTCTCACTATGTAATAGTCCAATGTAGGTTTATTGCTTAGCACACAGTTTTCTCCAGGTGATGGTCCAGAGACACTGGCTTCCCTTTTGTGGCACCAGGAAGGGCTATAGAATCTTCTCCATCCATCCAGTGGAAGGGTAAGAAAACTTGAAGGAGGTACACCCACTGCTTAAAAGCCTTGACCCAGAATGGCACACATCATTTCTGTCCCATTCCATTGGTAACACTAAGTCACATGGCCACTCCCAGAGGAAAGCAACTGGGAGATGAAATTCTGGCTGGGCAGCCTTTTCCTTGTAACAGCTCTGGACGCTGGAAAAAGGAGTCCTAATTTTGGTGTTCAGATAGGCTTTCCTGAGTAGGATTCTTCATTGCAGAAGTGGTAATAAAGAGATATACGTCTTTGAAATTAATCCCATTTCTCCAAAAATGAAGCTTATTGTGACCATAAAATACAACCTTCTGATTCATTCATCATTTCTATATAACCCACTTCTGCTACAATTGCTATTTAATTTCTGAGAATCTCCATAGTGAGTCAGAGCTTTAATTTGAGAGTTCAGAGATCATCCTCTCGTCTTAAATTATTCTAGATAAGGTACATTTCCCAAGCTATCTTCTGCAAAACACTGGTATATTCACATGGAAATTTTTCCTAGCAACTGCGTGTGGGAAATCCAGTGTGCTGCTCTTCTTTCTCTCTCGAAGGTTTGTAATACACATTAGCACAGGGATTCTGAGAAATGCTTGTAGTAAAGAAATCAGTTTCGCTTTGCTCAAACATCCCTCAAACTTATTTCACCACTAAATCTATATTTTGAAGAGCATCTGTTAACCCTAAAATGTTGTGTAAGAGGACTAAATAATAAAAACAAAACTTAGCATTTATAAAACGTCTTATGTGTTAGAAACCATGCTACCTGCTTAAACGAGAACAATTCCCTGTGAAGTAAGAATCGTTTCATCTAAAGATGAAGAAAATTAGGTCCAAATAGGTTCAGCATCAGCGTTCCACCATTAAAATGTAACCCGCTTGAGTCAGTGGGAGAAATGACCAAGAAATTATGGATTTCTGTCCTTTTAGAGATGCGATCTGTGAAAAGAACGCAAATGATGTCCAAGTCCCCAGCTTAATGTGAAATGCATGGTGGGGATTCATCCAAAGACTTTCAAGGCCAGTCCAGCAAAATTTCATGAGAAATTAGCTTATAACTTTCTAACTAGGCTTAACTGTTAGCTTTCTAACCACACTTTACTGACATGTGATTGAGTGGTGAGAATGAAAGAAAAACAGAGGGAGGTCCAGGGCCCTGAATATAGAATTTCCCATAGAAAGACGTTTCTCCCTCTGGGACCAATAAGTTCCAGTTCCCAAGAAGTCCTGGGACTATGTGGGAACTAAATTTCTACCAACAGCCTTGCTAGGTAAAAGTAACACCTCATTAAGTTGTATAGGCCCACTCTTAAAATGCTTAGCTATTCACTTGGGGAACCCAAAGAGTAGACATTTTGTTCCCATTTACCACCCCTGTCTCCTAGAAATGCCTGGATTTCCTGAAATTATGATTTTGTCGGTTCCATCATTGCATTGATTTGGGGAAAGAAAGAGTTTATAAGACCAGAAAGGCCATTTGATCAGGAATCAAGAGATCTTGAGTCTAGGCTCAGTTCTACTAATAACATCTGAGTGACTCTGAACAAGTCTTACATTGACAACAACAGTTGTTATTAACCTCTATTTCTGCTCCTCTTTTCATCTGCTAGACGTTATGTTAAGGATCCCTCATTTGTTATCTCATTTAATCCTTACTTCCCTTCAGAGTGGACATTTATCATCCCCATTTTACAGATAAGAAAACTGAGAGTTGGAGAGATGTAATAACTTGCATGATGTCACACAGATAGTGGGAGAACTTTGGCTCTGTGATCCCACGATTTGGATGGATGAATTCCAAGACCCATGGTTTTAACCATTCCCCACACTGCCTCCTCTTAGGCTTCTCTTTTTTATCTCAAAGTTGAGGGGTCTTTACCAGTCATTCTCTAAGGTTTCTTCATAATTAAATCCTCCGTGATCTAAAAAGCATACACTTTAAATGTTTTTACTTCCTTCCAGGAACAAGCTGTAATTTCTGGTAGCTGCCACTAATTGGATATTAGTAGCTCTCTGGATTATGACATGAAATCTTAGATGTTAACTATTATTACATGGAATCTCAGTTATTAGCTGTCTACATGGGGAAAAGCTTGTGGGTCAAGAAAGCAAGTGATGTCAATATTGTTATTTCTTCAAAAATTTAACTTAATCAAAATGGTGCACACACTAGAGGCAAGGTATAATTTACCATAAATCAAATGAAACTTAAGTTCCCAAGGCCCTGGGAGTGGCCCTAGAAATTTCATGATAACTTTTGTATTCTTTTTCTTAAAAAGGGCCTTCCGATTATATAAACTTCAGGACTCACAAAACCCAGATCAATCACTGTGTAGTTGCTCTATGGTTGGTCTGCCTTGGATGTAAATCTTGGACCCACCTCTTAATAGCTGTGTAATCTTGAGTGTGGCACTTAACTTCTCTGTAGCTCCGTTTTCTCTTTTGAAACATGGGGATTATAATACACGATGATAGTATTATGGGGTGGATTAAATAATTACAGCAAAGCACTTAGCACAGAACACATGAAGTGATCAATAAATTTAAGCTAGTATGTATTTATTTATTACTTTAATAGCATATGAGGACACTGACAGCATATATATTATTTGAGCAGAATTTGATGAGCCATAATGCTTATACACAATTGCTACTTTACGTACCAGAGTGCCATGATTACCAATCACTATTTAAAGAACTATTTTCACTCAAACCTAGTATGGAAGCATATTCTGAGTCAGACTTCCTAGGACATGCTAACTCACTGATGGACTTAGCCGTATCAAATAACTTGTTCTGCCCTTAGACAAGGCCTGCTTTTGGGTTCTTCATTTTCCTAAGTCCTTAAACCAGCTCTCCTGAATGCTGAGTTCTTGATCGTTGGAATTAAAATCTGCCTATTTTTATTGTTCAGAAGTGCATATTAGACATGTTTTATTTTGGTTTCTTTTCCTGTTTAATTGGCAGCATACTGAGATACTTGCTCAAAACTTTCTAAGTGGAATTAATGATGACAGCGACCTCATTGGCTTAGCATTTTACAATAATGTCGTCTAATTTTCACCATATTTCTGGGATGCAGTCTAGGCAAGCATCAGTATTCCATTTTGCATACAAAGAACTGAAGTTCAAGGTGGTGAAATGGCTTGTCCAAAGTAACCTAGTAAATAAGTAGAGAAGAGGAGGACAAGCCAGAATTTCCAACTCCACTTCCAAGACTCGAAGTTCACACTGAGTAAATTTTGCAAAGCTTTAGTCCTTTAGTAGGATAATGCTTTTTATCTTCTTTTTTAAACCTGGGTTCTCACTAGAGACTTACATATTAAAGGGGGTAAGACTTTTTTTTTCCCTACAACATGCATCAAACACATGACAATAGAGCAGAAAAGTTGTCAATAAATGTATGTAGCACTCTTCTTGTGATTGATATTAAGAATTTCAGGCGTTGTAACCTCTGGGAAAGCTCTCATTGAATAAGCACCACAGCCAGGGCCAGCCTTATGTGTGTGTAGATATAACGGGAATGGTCATGTGAACATTATTTGAGGAACTGGGGAAAAACTCTCACCAAAGAGAGCTCCTCTCCCAACTTACTGCCATGTTAGAGTGTCTGCCATTATTCCTTTCCGTTAAGACATTGCTGACCCAGAAGACAGTTTTCACATGCAAAAGTCCCTGGAACCGTTTAAAAGCTACCAAAGACAATCACAGATTAATGCCATAGAAGTAGGCAAATTGGAACCATAATTAAGAAGGAGACGTGGCAACAAAGAAAAGTTATGGGATTTCAAGTTGGAAGACCTGAGTTTTAATCCTGCTTAATTTATTTTCCACTATCGTGCGGCTTCTCAGCCTAATGCACTGATTTTTTAAAAGGCACTACTTAGTGCTGTCTCATTCAGACTAATATTCCTGGATCTTTTAACCTTCAGAGTTCTTATTTTTTCCTAATCCTTTAATCAATTCCATTAGTGACCTTAAAGAAGGAGTAAGTGGTACATTGATGAAACTTTCAGCTGATACTTTTTTAGGAGGTGGTAGAAACACCATTAAGGACAAATAAATAATGCAAACTCTCTGGCAAAGATATACTGAGTTCTAATTTAGGAGGGAAATGTAAGATATTTCCCTAAAAGCAATAATCTAAAATACCAATGATCAGATAAAGCAAAATAAATTTAGTCATAACATCAGGACACACAGGCTAGGAAAATGAAAGCATATCTGCCATCACCAATAACTAAAGAAGCCACAAAACTGTTCTATGCCTGGAAGAGTTTAATATCATGTAATGCTACCCCATGAATCAGGGGCCTGGGTAAAGCCATGAGTAACAGGAAGAGTCACTTTCAGCGTAAGAGCCAATAACAGGTTATCACAGAGTTTGGAGTAGTGGACATAGTAGTGACACATGTAATTGTTATAGTGATAAGAATAATAATAATAAATAGTAATAAAGCCTTCTGTTTGATTAGCACTTTACAATTTTAAAAGCACTTTTACCTATATGATTTCTTTTGATCCTCAAAGCAACTCGTCATGGTAAACAAGAGAAGAATTATAATTCCCATTTTAGGAGAGAAAATCAGAAGTTAAAATGGGGCAGTACTTTCTACCAGGTTATTTAACTCATGCATCCAGGACCATCATAGAATTTCAGAACTTGATTGCTCCTTAAAAGCGGGGAGCCCAACCCCCTCTTTTACATATGAGGAAACTGAGGTTTAGAGAAGGAAAGCGACTTTCTCCAGGAGAACGCAGTTAATTAGCTGCAAAGCAAGCTCTTGAACCCAAAGCTTAGTGAATTGATCTTTTCACCAAACTCTGTCACCTTCTAGATGGTCTTGAAAGGAAAGGATGGTTAAATAGGTCCAGGTTGGTTATAATATTTTGCAGGAAGAGTCCAGGGCTGCCTTTAATGTTAGATGAGAAAGAAAGATTTTTACTGAAATCTCTGCAATAATAGTGACACTTGCAGTGGAATAAATGAATGCAGTTTTGAACACCTCTGAGTCAGAAAGATATAGATCAAATAGGCAGAGGAGCGCAAATGACGCCAACAATGTGGGCATTGATTTATGAAGAGAGTCTAGAAGATTAAAAGTGCTAAATATGCATGACTTGGCTAATGACTGAGGAAAGACAAGGAAGTCTATAAATATTTGAAGGGTACAAATGCTATGGAGGAAGCAAAAATATTTTAAAAGCAAGGGAGAAAAAAGCCAACGCCATTAGGATTAATGGAATCCAATGAAGAAAGGGAAAAATAAAAGTTGAACATAAGGAAACACTTAAAAACAAGATTTACTGTTTTCTGGATTTGCCTTCCAAGACAAGAGGTAAAGTCCGTTCTTTGAGACATTTAAAGTCTGATTGGACCAAAATACCTACACCAATGACACAGGAAGCCATGTTCCATGGATACATAGGGGCTGGAACACACCCTCTCAGGTCTTTTCCACCTCTCATTTTTGTAATCCTGGAACCACGTGACATTGTTCTGGTTTTCACTCATTTCGAAGGCTGAGGCTGTGGAGCTGTGTGTAGTAAGAGTAGTGGACTCTCTGAACGTTTATAACTCCTCTGTTCAGTGCAGAGCCCTAGAGCTGAATTTGTCAACTCAACCAAATAGGAGGAGATCGGAATTGACTTTATCAAACTGCTATCCAAATAAATGAGATAATTAAACATAGCAGCTTCATAAGGGAATAGATGTGTATGGCCTGTTTTCACTCAGCTACACCCCCCATGAAGAATCGAATGGGACTAGCTCTTGCCCCAGGAAAGAGCGTATAAGAAGCACCCTGGCTGAGGCAGAGGCTGTATCACTGTCATTCTCTCCTTGTTGCGGTATTTTACATATGTTGCCTAGATGCTAGGCCTGGGTTCCAAGCTCATAGCATTGTCATGCCCACCAGTTATCTGAGATGCCTGCCTGGCCTGGGCTTTCTTTCTCTTGTTCTCAAGACTTATGCCCTTCCAGATCCTGATTCTGTGGTCAACTATTGCCCTGCCCCACCTCCTCTGTGGTCCCCGTGTGGTTTGATGTTGAAATGTAGCTGATGTAATTATTGTGATAATAAAAATAGAACTGAGAATTGACAATATGCCTGCTAAGTGAAGAGAAAAAATAGGTCTACTGAAGTCTGTGCATGTGCAAAGCTTCAAAGTCTTCCACTTGCCTTGCCCAGAGCTCCACCTCTGGCTGCCTGCTTACTCCTCCCTTCCCGGGACAGGGTCTATATTACTCACCATCTGTAACTATGAAGCACCATATCTGGCACAAAGTGGGTCTTCAATAGATGTTTGTTAAGTGAATAAATGAACGAATGAACCTCAGACTGCTTGGTTAGCTGAGGCTCAACCATCCTCCTCTTTGTATCTCCAGATCTTGAGGATCTGCTCTCTGGCTCCATATCCCCATCCACTGGAGGGATTCTGACCAGACCACCTGGAATATTGACACACAACTGTCTTTAAGTGGAAATATTTCCCAGAAATCTTAATGGTTAGGTCCTACTTACCATAATGGAATTATGTAGACTCTGGCACTAGCCTTCATAAAACCCTAGCATATCCCATTATTTTAGACAACATGATTTGGGTACGTGGGCACCTCCAGGGTTCTCAGTGGGTTAATGCACCAGAGCTGGTCCCTCCACCTTCTTCTTCTCCAAATACTGCTGGGATGCTACCCTGTCTCCCATAGGAACCCAGGTCACTCATGAAAACGAAACACTTTTTCCCTTTAAATCATTTTTTTTTCTTCTGAAGATCCATTTGTTCTTCCCCAAACAAAAGGATTACTAAGACTTTCAGTCAGAATTCTGGTTGCCATCACATCTTAAACTATTCATTAACAGCGTGCTATATGGAAAACCACTGAAGATCATTACAGCTGTAGTCGGAAGCCAATGTGCCAGGATAATGAAAAACTATCCTGCAGTTCCCCATGCTCTGTTAGTTGTGTTTGTCATAAATGAGTTGTGGAGATTTGGAGTGAATGATCCATATCATATTGAACTGTCCTTTTTTATCGCTGACAATTGAAGGTGACTGAGAAGCAGGGCCAGTGTTAGACTGTATCTAATTGGAAACCTTCTCTCATTAATGTCTGATGTTGACTTGTATTACTTGATGAAATTAGGACCACAGTAGAATGGATTTTCTTATACAGAATGGGCTGGTTGAGCTCTCTTCCATTTCAGTGTTTTTTTAACCTCACCCCACCCCTAATTCCACAGCAGAAGGGGCCCAGCAGAGCAGGAATTTTGAGTAAGGCAGGTCTGTGCACAAACAAAGCAAGAACAGTTATGTAGTAAAGGAAATTGAAACCATATGGAATTTTATGCCACATATGTTTGAGCAGGTCTTGAGTACTGCTGTGGAACCAGAGGACTGGGGCACCTCTATGAGGTCACCTTGGCCCCAGGACTCTAGGCAGAACTGCCCCTAACCCAGCCCAGGCAGATGAGAACTTATCTTGCATGGAAAGGGTATGGTATGGAGAAGAATACCCACATCCTCCCTCCACCTTCCCCAGCCATTGGCTGTCTTGATGACACGCACTCTTGGAAGCTCTCTCTGAAGGTGTGGTCTTTAGCTGAGGTATTATTTCCTAGAAAAAAAATATTTGGATCAAGGAATAAAAACTTTACTCTAGCTATGTTCCCTCTTCCCTGACCCTGACCATTTCTGAGGAGAAAAGAGAATCAAGACTGGATGAGGAAAGATGAAAAATCTGAGTAGAATATTGAGTAGAATACTCCAGACATGCGGAAGAAAAAACTTCAGACCCCGCAACAAAGAGAGAAGAAAATAAAGTTGTTTTGAATAACAAAAGCATGGCCAAAGCTCACAGTATGATTTTAATTAAGTACATGCTAGTGCCATAGAGGTTAAATCTTTGCAATTTGATTTTTGGAGACCCACAGACAGGCCAGTTTCATTTTTTTGCATAGCTCTGTCAGGTTACCAGTAAACTAATGCTTATGAGAACAACCCACTTTCTGAATGATTTATTAAGGATTTAACAAACGTAAATGTTTTCAAAATGCTTAACAACAACTAGGAAGTTCAGAAATTTCATCTGGAAACATCACAAACCAATACCTATGGATTTATTTATTTTCTCTAAAACCCCCTAGTCTCAGAAATACAGTTTTTTAGAATATATGTTTTATTGACAGAGATATGCACAGTCATCTTTAGTTTCAGAAGATGAAGCAATGGCTGATTTCGGCTATTTTGATGCATAATTAATGCCTGGATCTTTCACGGTCTTTGATTCTTCTGACCCTGAGATACTACATCCAGCAGAATGTAAGAAACAGAGGGGCCTTGTTCTTGACAAAACTGTGATACCGGGTAAATTTAGTCCTCTGGGCCTCTCCATCCTCTTTCCATGTTCTCTTCCCGTCCTTTATACCCTCCCCAGCCGGTGTCAGTCACCACCACCCCAACTATGGCATTGCCTGAGAACCATCTTTCCCATCTCAAGTCTCTTGAATGTTTCCTTATGTCCAGTCTCAAACCACATTTATCTTGTGCTTTTCGGTAAGAATTAAACTTCTTAACAAATTCACTCCACAATATTAATGGAGCCATTATATTTAATACATTGCCCATCCTAGGAATATTTGGAAGTAAATAGAACCACTAATTCATTGTGCAAGGTCTTTTCTTACCTATGTGGGATTTTTTCCTCAAGCAGCAATCCGAACTCAGTGTCATGACATTGATTATATCTCATCCATCACCGCCCGGGTTTCAGCAAATCACAGATTGTTAGAGCCTTACAAGCCTCAGTTGTATTTCATCAGTTTTCAGGACAGGAAATAGAAGTCTAGAGAGTTTAACTGATGCTCAGGTCCCTTAGAAAGTCAGTGAATGAACTGGCTCTACTGAGCAAATCCTGACTCCTAATCCAGTGCTCTTTCCATCATAGCACAATACCAATTCCACTCTATACTATTTCAGATCCCAAATGCTTTACTCAATGCTACCAAGAGACTTTCTCTCAGACATAGGAGAGTTTCCTGGCTAAACAGAAGATGGTAGAAAGGACACTGTCATGCTAACACAAAATCTATTATATCTAGAATCCAGAAATGTCTGACTGATAAAAGGTATATCCTACCTGGATAGTGCTCCAAAGAAAACTCAATGCATGGATAATTTGTAGAATATTCTATGCCATAAAAGTATACCTAAACATCGTGTTCATGCTAATACATTTTTTGCATTGCTACAACGACCACTAACATCTCTGCCAAGGATGTCTTTACAGAAAAGAGAATCAAATGGGACTGAGAAGTTGTTGATGGGTAGTTGGTAAAAATGCAAAAAAATTATACAGTAAGAAAAACAAGCAGCTTCCCAGCTCGGAATCAAAAGTTATATTAGTATAAGAGAAGAACTTCCTATAAACTAGATGTGATGGGGGCCTCAGAAGAATGCCCTTTTAAAGGTTCTGCTTGTACACTGTGTTTAGTTGATACCAAACATCTGGCTGGAGAGAAGACCATTCAGTCAATCAACCAGATGTTTAGTCTACCCTCTGCCAAACATCTTAGCTATTGATGGAATCATTTTCTTTTCATTAGGGAGCTTTGCCCCAGTGACCCAGAGGGGCAGTCACAGCTTGAGAACACAGCATGAGGATGACAGATAATTGACCCACCAAGATCCCCAAGTGGGACGTTTTTCAGGTCCGTGTGGGTCAGTTCAACATCACTTTAGTTTGAGATTTGTTGGCTGTTTGTTGTTCTGAGACACTTTGATGCCAGCACATTTTTTAATCCCTACTTCGTAAAGAGTGGAGTCTCTGAGTTGAAAAAGAACACCCTGTTGACGTTCAAGGATAGAAGGCCATCCAGCGGAAAGCTGCACTGGTTTCTTCCCAAATTGTCATTAAGTGACCTTCCTCTGCTGTTTCAGCTGCTGTGGGGAAGAAGGTGCCGACATTTTGTTGGCACTGGCCTGGGGATTCATAATGAGTATAGAACTTGGCTCCGTTATAGAACATAATCCATCTGACAAAGGGAAATCATTTAACGGGCACTCTCTTAATTATAACAATTTGGAAGAGGGAGAAGTTGAGGACAACAGCAGAAAGCATAGCAAGGTTACTTAATGAGAATTTTGTCTTTGGACTCTCTTCTCACAGACCACCAGCCCCAAAGGTTGGAGAGGAAAATCAACCTTTACCAATATTTTCCTCATCGATTCTAATCAAGGGCAAGGGGGGGAAAGGAATAAGGGAATAGGAACAAGTAAAAAAGGGTGGAATAAAGGACTTCATTGTAAATGGAGGAATAGCAGGGTAGCTATTATGATTGTAATTTATTCTATTGTTCTCTGGAATTTTCTTATAGGGGTGGAAGGGTCTCTGGAAGAAGACGATGGGTGGTCAGCCATAGGTCCCATCTCACTCAGAAAGACTGCAGGGTCTGATCTAGGAATCTTCAGAAAGCTAGATCTACAACTTCGCTGACAGCCTCATAGGGAGACTGTTCCTCTAAAGAGTTAGGTCCTATCTTGGTCTGTCTTCCTTGCTTACGATCATAACAATGGTAATGCCTCACAGGTGTCCAGAACTCTGTAGTTTTCAAAGGGCTTTCATACAGATGACTTCTTTTGATCCTTGTGGTTTAAAGTGCAAGGTTCAGTTTAAAGGAAACAGAAGGAAGAATATCATCAAATACGTACCCTCTGCCTATTACTTCCCAGACACTTGGCTAAGTACTTTCACTTGCCTAAAAAAAGCAGGGCACAGGTATTTTTACCTCTTATTTAATTGAAGAGAAGATTGGGCTCAGAAAGGCTAAGTAATTTGCCCAAAGTCACCCACCCAGTGAAGGGCTGGGTTGGCATTTGAACCCAAGTATCTTCCCATAGTCCATGCATTATTACACTATGTTGTAATCATACTTTCAATTTGCCAAGACAAAACAAAGAAAAAACTTTTACTATAGCGCTCATAAGCCAGAATGTAATTTAATGTAATTTATGCAGTAACACAAAATCATTATACATAGCATCTACATTGGAAACGTTCTTGGAGGCAATCCCCCCTGACATTAGATCATCTCTGGAGAATTTGAGTAAAATTAAAGACAGCCAATTTGGTAACATATTCATTTAGTCATTCACTGAAAATCTGTAGAACCACCACCACATACTTAGTAATGTAGACTGTGCTAAGAATGAAGAAGAAATATAAGAGATCATCCCTTCCTTTGGGAAATATATGATCTGGTTAAGGAGACTAATTATATCCTGTATACAGTAGTACAGTAGTATTTAAGTTAATGTTTGAAGTTTATGAATTGCTATAAGAGACTAAGCAGAATACGATGGAATATAATTTTTAAGTTGCTTGTGCATCAACAGATCAAACAGTACAGGAGTGAGACTTAAGGAGGAGGAAACTAATTTTTTTAACTTCTA